TTCCACTGGAAACGTAGCTCTGCTCTTATGACGTTTTAATACATATTGGCACTAATTTGTATTCTTTCAATGGAGGATTCTTTCGTCTTACATCTTTAAGACAGAAGCATTTTCTTGTAATTCTGCTGTGAAAATCGCCACGAAAGCAAAACATACCGCATTAAAAGGATTTCTTTCGAGACTATTGAACTCGGAACTTTCCTAGTGAGCTGAGCTACAAAGTCACGATCATGTGTTTGGTTTCTAGCTGTATTGAAAAAGTTTAGCACATTTGCTGGATGGTAGGTATTTTAAATATTGTAATCACAGTGTGTACAAACCCGAAGTAGTTGTATGAATAAATCAAAGCTAAAGAAAAGCTGAAGATGGCACTGGAAAAACCAGCCGGCAACAGTAGATCAGTTGGTGGCGCCAGCAGAGTGAGAGCCCGCAGTTATACCCTGCCTCGTTGTAATTTGGCAAAAGGTGAACGATAAGGCCCCACATTGCGTGCCGATGGCTTCGATATGCACTACGTATACGAGCGCAACGCACACATATTGGAGCATGATGCAGCGAAATGCCTGATAATTCTTCGCAGTAAAAGAGCACTCCTGTGATACGTAGTCACGTTCCGATTGGCCCGCCAGAGCCGTAGCTTCCGCCTTACCGGCATGTTATGCGATCACGGGTTCCTGGCCTAATCAGTCTTTCTTGCTTCATACGCTAGGCCAGCGGTTCTCAATCATCGATGTTTCGCGGACCCCTTGTGGATCGGCGGATATGAAGGAGGATTCCGTTCGTGGTGAGGGAAAGGAAAAGGTATAGGTTAAATATGATGATTTAATAAATAGATTTAGCTAAGGGATAGCGTGAAATTGACTTCTCTCATTGACATCCACGCAAGAAAATTCACCCGAAAATTGTAACAGTTCTTCTCGATCTGAAAAAAAATACAGCTTTTATTGTGGGATTTGACTGATGAGGCAGGGCCTCGCGGACCCCTAGAATGCCTTCGCGAACCCCAAAGGGTCCGCGGACCCCCAGGTGAGAACCACTGCACTAGGCTATGCGGAGCCACCAGCGTAGTAGCTCATATCTTTGAACATTGCCGCCGCCACTCCCAGGCATAACCAATGTTTCTCGCTTCGGTCGCTAGATAGCGCCAAACCAAACAGCCTTGCAGGTTGCCCATTGCCAATCACGTCAACCTGCGAGAGAGTTCGGCGAATGACATGGCTGAAAATATTTATGAATAATACAGTCTGCGCTTTGACCGTGATCATATGACACGCGATGCAAAACATGAGGATAATGCAATTGATGCAAAGGTAGAAGCGAGCTGGAGAAGAATTACGAAAATAATCCCTGGAAAATGGGAGCAAGGGGGACAAAGGACAAACACAAATCTCCAAAAACAACTAAGTGACTGGTGCGCGACAAAAAAAAAAAAAAAAAGAATGTTTTTTGTCGCTCCTCTTCTCCGGGGATTATTTTCGTCATGCAAAACGTGTTATTTGTTTTCATTGACTGTACATAGAAACATTTGTAACGCCTCGCACAATGTATTTTTTCTGTAGTATGTTGTAAACACACACCGATGTCAACATTAGTTGCAAGGGCACTCCGATCGTCTGCGTTCAGCAGATGAAGGAACATGTTTACGTCTGCGGCAAGCGCGGTAGGTGGGCCAACAATGTCTTGTGTTTGGATGTATTTATTGCCATTTATGGAAGCCTCCACCGCACGTAAAGCTGCAGCCAGTGACCTCTAAGCGTCTCTGAAGCAGACGACGAGTTAATCTACAGGTTGTTTTAGAGTTGAAAGTTGAGCTAGTTGGTAATTCGTTATGCTTGGTGAACAAAAAGAGCGCAGAAGACGAGGACTATTGAAAAAAAAAACGCCCTATTGAAAAAAAAAACACCTTAAGCTGGTCCCAGCTTTAAGCTTGGTTATTGCTCCAGCATGCCCTGTTTGACATGCTGGTTGATATGGTCATACTGGTAATGCTGGTAGATCTGGTTCCAGCTTCAAGCTGCGTTATTGCACCAGCATGCCGAGTTTGGCATGCTGGTTAAGCCGGTAAACTTACCCACCAGTTTGAGCAGTTTAAATTGATACACAAGAAAAACAAGCCAAACTCTTCAGAAAAGCCAGCTTAAGTGGCATTCAATTTATTATTTTCGTGCTCGCGGCCTGCTTCCATGAGCTCAGATGCTACACATCCTCGGCGTTGACACAGTAGTAACCGACGCAGACAGTGGTTCTCCGCGCAAAACAGCGTTATTAAAACTAAATTGCTTATCTCTTATCACGAAAAATATTAGAAAACGACAAAAACAGGTAATAGCAATAAAATACTACACGGATGAGAAAAGCGAACGTGGGCCCCGCCAGTAATGGGGGCGAAGCGGCCTCTTCCATAGTCGGCAGAGGCGAGGAACTCTGTGTGGCTTGGATGGCATTGGCAATACTCCTCGGCACCACTGTTAATCTCGAACTCACACATGCTCGAAGACATAAAATGACGCCTTTATAGGGGCGTCCGACTTCTTCCCGCGCTGAACGGACTGCCGCTCGCTGTCTCCTCAAATTCCGCTTCACTTGCACCACCTTTTAAGTAGTCTCCAAACAACGCGCACACTGCCGTCCCTTTGAAAATCTGGCCAAGATAGCCAAGCGTGTTTCAAATTCTCCGTTCCTACCACTCTTTCTCTCTTTTCTCGCACACAAAGGAAACTCGCAGCGCGCCTGAAGCGCCCGCTCGTCTACCAAAAACGAAAGGACAAATAACAGGACGTGGCCTCGCCCCAGCCCAAGCCAACCTTGGCGCGCGCGCTCCCAGCAATGCCAGCTCGACCACCTCTAGCCGACCTTGGCGTGCGCGCTCCATGCAAGACCAGCTTGGCGAGCTCGAGCCAGCTTGGGCCAGCTTCAGCACCAGCTCGAAAAAGATGACAAGCTTAAACCAGCTTCAGTACTAACTCGAACCAGCTCAAGTACGAGGTTGCCCAGCTGCAGTGCCAGCTCGAACCAGCTTGAACCAGCTTGACCAGCTCGAACCAGCTTGACAAGCTTGAACCAGCTTCAGTATCACCTCGAACCAGATCAAGTACCAGCTTGCCCAGCAGCAGTGCCAGCTCGAACCAGCTTGAACCAGCTTGACCAGCTCGAACCAGCTTGATTACCACGTAGACCAGCTCGAACCAGCTTGGCCAGCTTGATTTTCTTGTTGGTTCTTTTTTTTCAATAGGGATGGCCCTTCATTAATATTTTCAAAAAATCTAGCTCGCTTTTTACTTATAAAAACAATAAAAATAACAAGGAACGCACCACACACTCACACGCGTATATTCCACATACGATAGCTGCTCACTACGTCACGCGCTGACACTTCATAATAAATTTTAGGAACTCCAGCTCGTTCCTAGACGACGGCACTGACACCCCTGTAAAGGCTGTCCGTGCGAACCGTCGTTTAGGCTGCAATCATACTGGCGTTCGAATTGCAACTGCGAAGCGGATCCGCTCGTTTTCATCATCAACTGCGCGTGAATTTGCATCGTACATTTAAGCAACCGCGTTTGCTACCGCTTTGCGAATGCGGTTGAGTCCCCATTGTGAATGCGGCGTAGTTCTACCCCCATTTTGGGACGACACAAGGACGAGGTGTCACGCGAAGTGCTGTAGGCATTTCACATGCACAGTGGGGGAGAAACTGTATAGACGCTTTACACACGCGCCAGATTGAGCCGCCATAGCCGCCCTTCTCTTGTCTTATACCGAGATGCCGAGCTACTGAAGCGGGCGTTGACGGGTCTTCACAAGGGCCTATGCTGGGCACAAGAACACAGTAGCATCTAAAATGGCAATAACCTTTCCTGCTGTAGTAATGATGAAGTGAAGCGAACGGAATAAGAGGGAACAAAAACTGAAGGTCATTTATGGCGGCGCCCATGCACAGCTGCTGTAAAGCGTCTATAAGTGTGGCATCAGTAACGTTGTCTGGGAACGAGCTAGAGTTCCGAAACATTACAATGAAGGGCCAGCGTGCCGTAGAGAGCAGCTATCATAGGTGGAAGATGCCTGTACAGAGGCTGGAATACTGACTAGTGTTGTGAGCGGAGGCATTTTCTATGGGCGCGGAGGCGACGCAAGCGGGTGAAGGCGCTAGGGGCGCTCGATCCAGGAGTCCTATTACCGCCGCCGGCAACACCGTGTTGACTGACCGTGCCGCTGGTTGTTTTTCTGTGCGGCCGAGCTTCGACGAACGCGGGGAGCGGAGCCGGTTTGTTTGTTTCTTTTAAGCTGTAGATTGGCGTGCAATGCCGTCTAAAAGGGCCAAATCTTGCTTTGTGCCGAACTGTAACAGCGGTTACCAGTCTTGCAAAGAGAAAGTGCCGCTGTTCCGTGCCCCGAAAGACGCCGAGCGCTTGGAGGCATGGTCCCGGAACATGAAGCGTGCGGACAGAACCCTCGACAGTACGTGTGTGGTGTGTGCGAAACACTTTGAAGAACAATACATCGAGAAGACGTTTAAGCACGAATCCGTACATATTCAGGACGAAGAGAGAAGCTCAACAGCGACGCAGCGGTCTGGTACATCCCAGTTCTACAGCAACCTGCATTTGCCAACCTCCTACTGGTCGAAGATTGTATTCGAAGAGGACCCGTCGTCGGTACACTACGCATGGTGTGAACCAGGAAGCAACACTCATGTGAAGACTACAAAGTTGGTTACGTTCTGTTCCTTCAGAGGTGAAAATACAGCGCGCTGCTCCGTGTACTTCCGCGCTGTGAAGATCATCGACATCGAGGTGCACACCTCTGCTGAAGCTGAAGCTCAGCTAATGAGTGCAGAAAACTCAGCCATGTGCCCTGGAGCAACACTCAAGCCACTTGTGGGGAAAAACTATGTGACCTTTGGCAACAAATACTTTTCGAAGGACTGCACTGGCCGTCCACAGGATGAGCAGCCGTGCTTACGTTGCAGGTAGCTTAAAAAGCTTATCCAAAACCAGATGTCAAGGAAAAGGAAGAAGACGTCTAGCTCCACCAAGAAGCAATCGAGAAGAAGACACGCTCTGTTCAAGGCGAAAAAGAAGCTGCTAGTAACAAGGAAGACGATGGAACAGCTTCAGGCTCAAAATGATTCTCTGCCCTCAACAATCATCCAAGAGCGGTTGGCGGGCTTGCCACCAAAACAACGAGCTGCTGTCACTTGCTGTTTCGATGCAGCTTCAAGGAAATCACATCAAGGGATGAAGTACGACAAGTCTTGGATCCTAGAATGTATCCTCATGCGAATGAGAAGCCCAAAACTCTATGAACACATCCGAAAGCAGAACATTCTCGCGTTGCCTTCCAAATCTTGCCTGCAGACCTATATACGTGGCTTAAAAAATGGATTTGGTTTCAATCCAAACGTGTTTTCTGCTTTGTCACAGAAGACAAAAGAAATGGATGAATTTAGTGTTCACGGAGGTATTGTGTTTGACGAAATGAAGTTGTCGGAGCATGTGAGCGTCAAGTCATCGGGAGCACTGGAAGGTTTCGTTGACCTCGGCTCATTTACTCCTGGGGACCAGAAAACAACGACGTGCGACCATGGCCTGGTCGTGATGTTCCAGCCCTTTCATGGTGACCATTCATTTGTATAATTATTTTTCAGCTCTGAAGGAGGTAGGATTTACCTCTTTTGTTTTATACAATCCTTTCTTTGAATTAATATTTTTTTTTAAGTAGGGCGCTTCAAAAATATTATTTCGATACTGACCTGGGCTGATGTCCCAGTCGGTAACGATATTGATCGGCCTATAACATTATTTTGATTAATACCATTTTTAATTCAAGCCTAATTGTTATTATGCACGCATATTCACTGCTTCTGTAGGCGACTGGACTGAAGTCCTTGGAACATTCGCTTCTCGGAGCAATGTGAAGGCAGGCACCCTCTCAAAGATCCTTCTAGAGGCTACTCTCCTCGCCGAGCAGGCTGGCCTTTTCGTCGACTTCGTTACCTGCGACGGAGCTTCCTGCAATCGAAGTATGTGGAAATCCTTTGACATAAAACGTATGTATGCTTTAATCTGACAGGAGTAGTGCTCTATCTCTTCATACTTTTTTGTAATGAGTGTAAACTCATACATATGCTTCTTTCAGCATCCGCAAAGGAGATCTGCTGCAAGGTGCATCATCCCGTCGACAGAAGGAGAAGTTTACACTTTCTTTCCGACTTCCCACATCTTATCAAATGCATCCGCAACACTGTAGTGTCAACTGGTGTGCAGACTCCTGATGGTCATGTCCGCATCGAGAATGTTGAGGAGGCGTGGAAATGTGATAAAGCAAACGTGAGACTTAAGGTTATGCCCACCATAACGAAAGCACACTTGCATCCTAATCCTTTCGAAAGGATGAAGGTTAACCTGGCCTTCAAGCTTTTCAGTGAGAGTCTCAAGGGCCTGTTTTTTTACAAGAATAGGATGGGATTTAGATCCATCACACCAACAGAGAACTTTGTGAGACTGATGAAGAGGCTTATATTCGTTATGACGGCTCGAATCCCATCCAAAGCGTTGAAACCACAGAAGTCGCGTGCTGCATTCTTAGCAGATTTTCTCATCTACCTTAATGAGTGGGAAATGTATGCCAGCAAGCACAACGGTGGCTTCATTAGTGCAAGCACAGCCTTGGGCCTGCGTGTGACGATAAGCAGTACGCTTTCCCTTCTGGACTATTTAACGTCTGTGCTGGGGTATGACTACCTTCTCACTGCAAACTTAAGTCAGGAAAAAATGGAGAATTTTTTTTCTCTCGTGAGACAATCATATGGGTGCAATGACCATCCTACGCCAGAGCAGTTTTTGCTGATCGTTAACTGCCTAAGTTTTTACAACTTGGCAAAGCCCCTAAAGTCAGGGAACTCTTCCCCAGAGCTGCTAACTGCCCTCCTTAAGTCCGCTGAGGCCCCAGGCAAGGTGAGACGCACATTTCAAGTCTTGTGGATGAACTCCTAGATGGCGGCAACTGGAAAGGTGCTGACACGATAATCACAGCCACAGGGCATGACACTCAGTGTCCTCCCAGCACTGCCCCATCAAAAGAAACAGCATCAATAGGGAAGCACTCTAGCTTAGTGAGTGAAAGAAGTGACAGTAGGCTGATCTATTTCAATGCTGGTTATGTTGCACGTAAAATGATAAAAAAAATCCGTGCTCCGAGTGTGCTGCAGAACTCACTGTGCTCCCGCTGCAGGCTGAGCAAAATCCTAACTCGTGCTTCACAAAAGCTTTTGACCATGGTGGTCTTCTTTACCCTACTGAAGCCTTGTCAAACTTTGTGACTGCGTTGGAAAATGCTTTCACTGTTTTTTTCAGCCACAACGAGTTGCACTGTTCCAGTGTCGTAGATTTTTTATCTTTTTTACAGAACCTTTCATTTGACCGCATTGGCTGTGTCGAGCACACTAAGTTGACCACTGCGAATTTATTGAAGTTCTATGTGCTGACTAGATTACACTTTTATACAAAAGTCGGTCAACAAAGAGAGAGGATCCCGAAGGGAAAGGCAGAAGCTCCTCAAGAAGAGGAGGCTGGAGTAAATACAGGGTGCTCCAACCAACAGTGAAAATATGTTTTTAAGCAAAGCACACTGGATATTAAAAAAAATTATTCCTTTGGAATGGCTTTATCGACCATGGGGAGGTAAATGAGCCCAATACAAGGACTAATGAACTAAAATGCAATAATTGACTTTTTACATACTTTAGTTAGGGTAGGTGTTTATGTTGAAAAATTCAAGGTGGCCGAATTTCAAGAATGTTTCTTTTTGTAGAGGTAACCTAACCAGCCTGTGTTCTGGTGTATTCATCTCTAAACTTTCTGCAGAATCCGGCTAAACAGGATACAACACAGGGATATTGGTGCCACAACCGATCTTTACGTATTGCATACAATTTAGCTGTATTGTGTGGAAGGTTTGGAGAGGGGTATCTCGAAACACAGGCTGGTTAGGACAATTCTACGAAATAGAACTCTTGAAATACAACCACCTTGAACTTTCTAACTTGAACCGATACCCTTATTACAGTGTTTTAAGCGTTGTTTAACACAGTTCAGTTAATTAGTTAACTATTGGTATGTTCTTTTCTGCCGCAGTCGATAACATTATTTTGAAGATATAATTTCTTTATTTCTAGCGCTCTCCGTCTAAAATATTTCACTCTTGGTTGAAACACTTTGCATATGAACTTCGCAGTGGTGTTTTAAGGTGCTTGCTGAAGTTATCCATAACCTTAGTCATTTTGCAAGGTATTCAAAATGAATAAGTTTTATATTTAGTGTCGGGCACTTTTTGTGGATTCTTCGTCATTTTGCCTGGTATGCAAGATATTTTTGTCATCTGTTCAACGTTTAGTATGTATTCCTAGGAATTTTACAAGAAATGCAGAATAATTTGCATTACCTTTGTTATTATTGTTGCTGCATGTCTAGTGATTTAACAAGATTTTCTTAATAATTTGCATATTATTTCTTGAATGTTATGGGCTTTCTAGTAATTTTCGTGTTCCTACATTTTAGTCATTTGCAAGATGTGTATTGGTCGTTTCATGTGAGTTCTGTATTCCCAGCAATTTATTGGACATCTTACTGTGTGTCATGTGTGTAATTGTTTAATAAAGATACGATGTTCCATTGCACAGGATGTTATTTCTTTCTATAAATATATTTTTGTAAATTTTGATCACATCCCTCTGCACAACATGCACTATGTTTCAACTTGAAGGAGCTATCTTTGGAAAGAGAATCGCAACCATATTGCAAAGCCAGCATGTTTTCTTCGGCGTTATTTTGCTAGCAGTAGTTCTATGCCTGGAAAACACCCTCCCCGTAACGTGAAATCAAATCTCGACGTCGTAGTCGTCAGCGTAGCGCGTTCGTTGTGTTCCCCTTTGCGGCAGGAGTTTTAATCGTAAATCAGTTTGTGGTGACTCCTCCTTTCTTTTTTCCCTCATTATTCCCGCATTAATTCTACACGCCTGAAAGCGCTTAAAAGAGCGCACGCGCGCTTTTTGGCTCCTCGGCCGCGGACTCTGTGCGCATCGCACGCCTTCCGCGGCGCTGCTCGGTCGTCTTCCTGATAGGACTGCTGTCCGCAGCGCCACCGCTTCTGTCATCAGAAAACGTTGCTCCTCTCCGCCGGCGCTCTGAACACTAGTCAGTATTCCAGCCTCTGTAATGCCTGTGTGAATGTGAGGTGCTACGGTGGCTGGAAGGGGAAGTGTGACTGGCGGGAGCGAAGGGCTGCACAGAGTTGCTATGAAAACGACTCGTTTGCAGAGCCGTGTATAGAGAGTGTCTGGTCAATGGGAGGAGCCGGCGGAAGCCGGGCTGGAGCGGAAAAAGCGGCGGCGCCGCCAGTGCCGCATATCTCCCCCCCCCCCCCCCCCCCCCTTTCCCGTGATGAGCTTGTGAAGGAAGAATGATGGGATGGCCTTGAAGGATTTGAGTAGCGCGACGCAGGTATTTTTTGTTCCTGGATGAGGCTAAATGTACATGGATGTATAAATGTAAGAGATTGGTGGAAAAGGGAAGTTTCAAGGTGCTGAATGCGTTTACTAAGCCAGGGAAAGTAACATTGACGAGAAAAGTTTCCTGAAACATGGGGCAACCCCGCGAATACGGTGTGCCCGTTCGTGGTTTGGTTCAAAGCTCCCACGAAACCGAAGCTGCAGTTATTACTGGCCACTTGGTCGTGGCCGCGGCCGCGGCCGCGGCCGTGAGTGCAGTCAAAAGAAAGTATGACTGCGTTCTGAATGAGCCTCGACGTCAGCGTCAAGCGCGTCGCCCTTTTACTTAAAAATAGTCGCAAATTTTAATTCTAGTGTGCTGAAATGAAAAACTTTGAATGCATCCTTACCTAGACATTGTGATTGGAGGGTATTTGTTAAGATCCTTGCCTCCGGTACGGGAATGTTTGAGGCTAGTGGTTGGTCACAATAACTATCAATCATCGCGCCTAAGGTCATTGACCGGATTTCGGCCCATGACGTGCCCTTATTTTCGCCATAGTCTTACCAGTAACTCTACAAATACGGCTCTGCTCGCCTGCGAACCTCAACGCCCCTCGCGGCGGCGAAGGGTTTCATAACCACTTTTTTTTTATCACAACAACACACGCGCTGCCAGAAGTGAGTGTGTTGAAAGGTCAAATGCTTCTCTATTTTTGACTCAAGTTTCCGCAATATAGAAAGTCCAGCTGCTGTTCTTTCTTGAAATGTTGGAAGCCAACCGCTGTTCCGTTAATATCAAAACGCGTATGACTGTTTGTTTTTTGTCAACTACATGAATTAAGCACGTTTCCCCTGTTAACCGGGTCGTGCGCCAGAATTCCGCAATGAAAATTTTGGGCGCTGCAGCCAGCAGGAGAGTCAGCGGTCTCCGAAATTTTAATCGCGCCTTGCGCCCCTGTTTGTCATTGCGGGCGTTTGGCGCCCGTCACACATCCCTTTCTAACTACCATAGTAGTGCGTTGCTTGTTTTAATGCGTTTCAGCTAAAGTCCAGGCGGCAGCCGATGCTACAAGCGAGCTTCGACCTCTCAGCGTCCCTGCCAAGCACGCGCGCTCGTGCAATGCAGGGCTCGGGACTATCGCGATAGTATCTTATAGAGATACTTTCGAGTAGCTTTCGAGTATCTGCATGTATGTCTATTAGCGGCGAGATGTTTTGTTGGCGCCCTCCTATGGTTCCCCCTTGTGACGTCATTACCTTGCGAACAACAAGTTCGATGGTGTTTGTAAATAGCATGGTGGAAGCCTGAAATCATTGCGCTCTCAAAGGAACACTGCCAACACCGTCGAAATTAAAGTTCTTTCATTCTTCTTATTTCCGTCGATAGTGTACCCTTTCCGACGTCATAGTCAGCTTTTGGGCCAATCGTGGAAGGCCGACCACAGCGACGCTTTCGGTCGCGCACGTCGCCAATAGGGAGTATTCACTGGCGGCCATAGCTGTGTGCGCGAATGCTGAGCGCGTGCTGATGGCGAGCTTCCACCGTTCTTCTGCAACGTGCATTCCGCACCATCAAGAG